AGCCGGGTATGGGTAGCCGGGTATCGGGTAGGGTACGGGTATCGGGTACCCGGTTGCGACCTCTGGTCCAGAGTGGGCAGGAAGAGAGTCGGGATACACAGCGCCACGGCGCGCTTGAAGGCTGAGGCTGCCGATTTGAAGGCACCACGCAAGATACGTGGTGGTGGTGGGGGGGTGGGGGGGGTGAGGAATGTGAGATCCCGCGGGGGGGCGGGGGGGTCTGAGACTGACGCAATGGAGCGTAGCCACGTAACGTAACTTCGGATGGGGGTCACATTTCCTTGAGCGCGCACGCCGTGAGCGAATCAACCGAAATAGGATGTATTTATAGATGTGCGCGTGTATATATACACGATGTGTTTGATGTAGGATAGCTCTCAATATATGGTCTGGTTATTATTAGGGGTGTCAGATTATGATTTTTTTGGACGGAAAGTTTTTCTCGTGCCTGCATGTAGACCGGGGGGGGAGGGGGGTAGTGGGGAAAACCCCCAAAACTCAAATTGCCTTAAATGTGTTTTTTTTTTGCTGTAGCCGACATTTGAAATATATATAAATAATAAACAAACATTCTTAGACTTCAGGAAGTTACAACCCGGTTACAGTATCGGGTTCTGAAACTTACAAGAGGTTTTGATATAGAGCTGGGATTATGTATACGAAGTTGATGAATCGACTAAGACTGTCTCAAACCCCCACCATGCCCTGCCTTACGAGGCTTTTACTTAAACAATGTGCCATGAATAAGGGCACCTGCCCGAAACGTCGCCTATTTAAAAAAAACATTTTAGGCATAAAAGTGTAATTGACAAATATGTCGAGGTTTGTACATTTTTTTATTATTATTACTTATAGCATACAGATCATCTCTCTGCTGTGAAGCAGGCCCATTGCCCGAAACGTCACCCGTTCGATATGCGCCCCTCTTCCGGGCAGTCGCGCGAGTAATTTGTGCACGTGACGTCCGCTGCCCAGCGCCGGCGGAGACGACGTCTTTATTTTTAAAGTGTTCCGTCAGAACAAAAGGCCGCTTCTAAATTCGCACTCGGTCATTCTAAAACGGTCTTCGCGAGTTTAGCGAGCAACAACCAACAACAACAACTACCGCCGCCGCTGCAGTTCGCCAATAAGTGGCGGTGGACGGCACCACGGCGCCTGTGCCAGGCTAGGTGCACGTTGATGCCACGTGAAGTGTCGAAGGCTCGCTGCTGGCAGGAGGTCACGGGACAGACCCAGCAGGTGCCGTGGGTCGACCGACTTAAACGACTGAGTCGATGCACCACCACCATCTGAAGCTGAGTCGACCTCGGGGGGAGGCTCCAGGTCCGGTTCAGATTATCGTCACCGGTGTTGGCCGTGAGCGGGAATCGAACTCGGGCCGCCGGGTTTGTAGCGCAGCGTTGCGCTAACCGCTACACCACCGCTCGCCCACACGCAGTGGGACATACACGCGCCCGTGAAATGCATTATATCCGCTGTGCAATTAAGAAGGTGGGATAGTGGCCCAGTGGTTAGTGCCACTGCGCTATATGGATGGAGTTCGATTCCTGGCCATGGCTAACATTAGCGGCGAGTGTTGCTAATGAGAATAAAGGCAAACAAAAGTGACAACATTTCATTAGCGGCTGACAACTTTCACGCTCTCACGACGTCAACTGAGCTGAACACCCTGTCGTGTTTGGCTGCTGTGCGGAGCGGTGGCGCAGCGGTTCGCACGCCGCACGATGAGCCCCGACGATTGTAGCGAGCGGGGGAGAGACGGAGCGAGTTCGCGTCGCTTGCACAAAAGTGGTTACTCGTTTTATCGACCCACGAGGGATGATGGACAGAGTTGATCCCCTGATCTGGATTTTACAACTCGCTTGAATGTCGTTCAAGGTCTCTCTGCCAGTAGTGCCACCCAGCCAGGTTATGTTTTTCTCTCTACAGCGATGAACAACAATTACTGTTTACTATTGTTTATTTTACCAGGTGAGGCCCACTGAGCTGTACAGCTATTTTTCAAAAGCGACCTGGCCACAGATGATAGCTCAACGAAGTGGCTTATCGCGTGGAACTTTATAGCAGCCGAATACTCTAAGCGCATGCTTCTAAATGTGGAGGGAAAAGCGGTGGTCCCGGAAAGAGACACGGGGAGAGAGAGACACGCAAACTCCAAATACACAGCAGCAGGTGTCAGGGTCGCGATCGAACCTACGACCTCCTGCATACCAGGCGAGGTAGTTAACATCTCCGAGCCACCGCGAGATGGCATTTGAGAGACGGTGGCGATGCCCCCTGATCTACGACGTCATGGAAGCTGAGATATTTTATTCCAGGTTGAATAAACGAGGGGGGGGGGGTGGTGATGAGATCACGGAGTGCACTGGAGAAACGTGAATACCCCGGCAGAATGGGGTGGAGCAGTGGCGCGTTAATTATCACACCGCACCTTGAACCCTGCAGCCTGACGTCCCGTAGGGGATGAAGACGAGAGTAAGTAATTACTCTGAACCCTGCGACTTCAGTTTGATTCCCAGCCACGGCTAACATCAGTGGCGAGCGATATCTGAAATGATTCGAGCACCCATCCCCACCCTCCACCCTCGCGCCACGTTCACCAACCCGCATTGACCAGCGTGGTGAAGTATAGTCAAACAACCCGGATGATTGACGCGGCATGGGGCAACCTTCATTCAACAGGGGATTGACAAAGCGCTGAATTGTTTTTGGTTCATCGCCAGCAGTGGTTGTCTTATGGATATCCTCGGCCCCGCCATACGAACGTGGAATTTCCACCACTAGCGGTATGGCTGAAACGGGGAAATGAGCATCACCACAAAGCTCATTTGAGCAGGAAATTACCGACTTTTTAACGACATATATATTAATATTTAGAATGTGCATTGGTGTAAACTTAATAGTGAAGAAAAATGAACGTGAAATGTAACGCTGCGGTATTAAAAGAGTCCTCGTGGAATAAGATAGCCGGGAAGAGGCGTCGGGGAACAGTTATGTTTGGAAGGGTGACAGTTTTCCCGAAAGGACATTTGATTCCGTTACGCCGGTTTATCGTCGTAGCAAAAGTAGCTACATATGTAGTAGCTACTACTACACAATACATAATATGTAGTAGTACATATGTAGTAATATGTAGTAGCTACTACATATGTAGTAGTAGCTACGGGCTTCGCACTTTCAAGGGCTCCGCGCTAAACGCTTTCAAGCTATCATTTCCGATTCAGTGATTCTGCACTTGCTCTATTACTATAGTACTATACCGCCTTCAACTTTTACGAACGACTGGGTGTTTTAATTTATTATTTTATCTTTAGACGTGACTTAACCGAAAGAACCAAAGAATAATTCCTGCAGTCACGAAAGCTCCATAATTAAGATTGGGTGTTTAAGCTTAGAGATTTGTCGCATTATCTGGCTGCATAGCAAATAAAACTTTACTATGCAAGTTTTAAAAAATTGTCTTTTCATATTTACGTGTTTAAAAAAACACATTTAGGGCCCCTTTATAAACAACATCAAGCTCCAGGCCCCGCACTATCTTCACCAGCCTGGTGGCCGCTGCTGGTGGAACTCACCTCGCCGCAAAACCCCGGGGCGACGTCAGTTCGATGCCCGCTCGCGCCCAAACAACAGTGAGGGCCCCAAATGTCTGTGCCGGTGCAGGGCCTCGCTTGGGTCGAATCAGCCTCAATCGAGTCACTCGGCGCGGTGTGTAAGCAACGGCAGTTTGGGGGAGACAAAGGCGGGTCGGGGGTGACGTTGGCCACCATCGTGCGCCGTGTCGGCCTTCGTAGGTGCTGCTCGCTAACAGCACTTGCCCCAACAGTCCGTCGAAGGCTATACGGAGAGGGGGGGGGGGGTCCCTTTGCCTCTGTTCCTGTGAGCGTGCATTTGGTTATGTTTTAGTGGAAGCAGTGAAATAAATGTTGAACGATGAAGCGTGACTGTGTACGCGTGGCTGTGTGCACGTGTTGTGCTCACGTGTTGTACAACACACACACGTGTTGTACACACACACACACACGTGTTGTACAAAACACACACGTGTTGTACAACACACACACACGTGTTGTACAACACACACACACACGTGTTGCACACACACACAAACACGTGTGTGGCTACAGGTGGTTGTCTGTGCGTGCTGGTCAGTGAGTGCAGACAGAAGGAGGAGGCACGAGAAGGTTGGGGGCTCGAGGGGGTTGTAAAGGAGGAGGTGGGGTGATGAGAAGGGGAGGAGGAGACGGATGGAAATACCATTCTGGCGAATTGCCCGATGATGCTGGTTGCAATTACCAGCGAAACGTCGTACTCAAATTGTAAATGTTGTGGCTTCAACACACCGGTGGGCTAAAGCAGTGAACTATTTGTCTTTGTCAACGTGACACATTTTTTACTGATTGGCCGTGTCGGGTGGTGGAGGGTTACGACACATTTATAAATAACGCGATCTAAACCCAAAAACGTTGATTATGGAAATACATACCTCACCCCGTCTCCTTCCCACAGCCCACACCACCACCAACCACCCACCCTCCTCATCGCTTCCATCCCCCTCCCACAACGACAAAGATCCCCCGTATAGCCTGCAACATACTTGTGGGGCAAGTGCCGTTGCGCGAGCAGGGCCACCTACGAAAGGCCGGAACGGCACGCGAGGCAGTGAGTGGGTGGATGCTGGCGTGAACCAGCAACCACGCCTCCCTCCACACTCTCACACACACACACTGACACACACACACATCCCAACACACCGACACACGCACATGCACGCGCGTGCACGCTGACGCCGTCACGCGCGCAGCTGCTCGGACGAATCGCCACTTATAGCCCGCTTTTCGTAGCCCCCCCCCCCCCCAAGGGGTCGGGCGTAAGTCGCGGACTCAAGACGCGTGGGATCTCCACTAATCTGCGAACCGACAAATTAGTCCGCGCCTGGAACCAGGGAGCTACTTTATTCGGAGCGCGACAAAAACGTCGTCAAACAGCCAGGGGTTAAGTCACCTTCCAGGGGCCGTGGCCAACCCACCCAAGATCTGTTTGTTCGGAGTTCGCCACTCGAAGACACGCGCGCGCACGCCCACGTCCATGAGACGTGCGCCACACGATGAAGTCCACTAAAGGTGAGTCCGCGCGCGTGCGTGCGTCTTGCTGTTCGAGGAATCGCTTAAAAAATTTTAGTTTTTTAATTCTCGGCCCAGAAAATTTTTTTTTTATCGCAGACGAAGAGCAACTGTACCTGCACGTACTGGCAGGTGTTGGTGGGTGGCGTGCGCGCATCACTCGTGCCGCGTTGGCTCCACTGGCACCCGCGGTGGCTGTAGGCTATCGAGAGACGAGAAAGCGAGTTCCCTTGCCCATGGGGGAGATACTTTCTGGGGGTATTTCGTCTTGTTGGGGGGGGGGGCTCTCTCACGGCGTCACTTGCTGCTTGGGGGAGTGTTTCGCAGGCGATGTCGGGTGGTGGCAGGTTTAACGACACATTACGCGATCTAACCCCCCAAAAAACCCTGTGTTATGAGCATTATTATCGGTGCAATTGCCCCCGTGCTTTGATGATCATCTGTCCTGAGCTTTGTCGACGAATCGCAACCGCTTGACGTGTGCACGTGCGCGTGTCAAGTCTAAACAGCGGTCAGCCAATGTGTCCGTGACGAACTCTCCCCCATCATCATCATCAATATCATTATTATTATTCTCATAATTTAGACATTTCGAATGTCCACGTTTTCACAACCTGGTTTTGGGGGTACTGTGTCCTGTGCTTCGTGACGCCGAATGCTCGTTCGCATGGGTTGTCCGCCTTCTCCGCTGGAAGTCCTCCTTCCAAACTTTCTCCACCTCATATTCTTAGGTTTTATCGGTAAAGTCACGTAGGTAAAAACATTAAAATTAATAAAAGTAAAATAAAAATTTTAAAAATCACGACGTTTCAGAGGCAACACAAGCTTCCGTCTTCAGGTGTGACTTTACCGAAAAAACCTAAGAATATGAATCCTTGCAGTCACGAAAGCTTCAAATCTAGAATTTCTCCACCTCGGTCACTTTTTGTTTGTCGCGTCTCCGTTCGGAGACGTGGTTGCATCGCGCGCGCTGCTAGACAGAGTCCCACACGCGCAAGACGAGCAAATCGGTCGGCATGTGGCTACTGCTGTCACATTTCCACGCGATGGCGATGAGCCACTTTCGTTCAGCTATCGTTGATGACACCCAAGTCGCTTCTGAAAAAATAGCTCCATAGCTCAGTGAGACTTACCCTGCTAAAATACAAAAATATGTCTTTGGTGACGGATATTCTCACTCGCCGTGGTCACCTTGAGTAGAGGACTTTCACCGTGTTTGTGCATTGGTGTGCCCACGTGTACCGGTGCCGATATGAATTCTGGCAAAATCGACTGATGAAACTGGCTGTTGCAATCACCAGCGAAACTTCGTACCCAAATTGTAAATGTCGTAGTGGGTTTACTCTCCAACACACCGTTTAGTGCTGAAGTAGTCACAAATTGACCACGTTCTTCTTCTTGGTTCTTTCGGTAAGAGCCCTTCTTCTTTACCGAAAGATTTTTCGATTTAAAGCTTTCGTGACTGCAGGGATTCATCTTCTTGGTGCTTTCGGTAAAGTCACGTAGAAGGGAAGTAATAAAATAATAAAAATAAAACATAATAAAATAATTCTCACGACGTTTCGGCCACAACGCGAGCAGCCGTCCTCAGGTGAAGACCAGGTCTGTCCATTCAGACGCTGTCTCCCCGACAGACCTGGTCTTCACCTGAGGACGGCTGCTTGCGTTGTGGCCGAAACGTCGTGAGAATTATTTTATTATGTTTTATTTTTATTATTTTATTACTTCCCTTCTACGTGACTTTACCGAAAGAACCAAGAAGATTTACCGAAAGAACCAAGAAGATGAATCCTTGCAGTCACGAAAGCTTTAAATCGAAATTTGACCACGTTCTGTTTACGGGACAAACCTCAACTAAAATGGACCTTTCTCGGTCGTGGCGGGTTTAGCGACACATTTCTATTCACGCGATCTGACCCATGGAACTTTGATCATGGGTCGCGTGACGTTTGTAAACAGTGTGCAGGTGACACTTCCTCTTCACACTTTCAGTGGCCGACCTTAAGGAAATCTAAAACTACAATTGGCATTAAGGTAATCGATATATCCTCGTAACGATTGACAAAAGAAAGTCGTGTCGAATTTCGATTTAAAGCTTTCGTGACTGCAGGGATTCATCTTCTTGGTTCTTTCGGTAAAGTCACGTAAAATGGAAATAATAAAATAATAAAAATAATACATTTTATTATTAATAAAATAATAAAAATAAAACATTTTTCTTATTTTATTATTTCCATTCTACGTGACTTTACCGGAAGAACCAAGAAGATCGTGTCGAATTGCTTGCTCAATTCCGTTTTGGGGTTCAATATTTGTTCGGAGTAATTCTGTTGTTGTTGTGAGTACTCTCTTCTGTACTCGCCGCACGGCAAGCTGAATCAGACATTCAGTAAACATTCAAATAATTTCGTTAGCCTGCGATAATGAGTTACTGCAGTCACGCCGATTGCCATTCAATGCCAATTCCCGGTGATAAACTCTTTGACAGACCTGGGTCCACTTGCAGTCCGAGCTTCTGAGAGAGAGGCTTAAACCAGACGTCTGAATGACGCCTCTGTTCGTTTTCACTCGCCTCCCCGTCAGTGATTCGATGATAATTTGACATCGCTTTTCTTCAGGTAACACGGTGCAATTACTAATTAAGAGGTTCATGCTAAGAAATAGAAGCGATGTGGGGCGGGCGGGGGGGGAAGTTAGTAATGCTTGTGGGACAGGATTAAACTAAAATATAAGGTCATCAATTTTATTGGCAGTTAAACCATATGCCCGCCATCATTTGCCATTGGCATTATATATATATGCGCGTAATTAAGTATTATTATATATTATAATTGATGACCTAATACATATCCTTTTTGGGCATGTGCATAGTGAAAGGCGTACCGATAAAGGTTAAAAATGCACGCGAATATATTGTACTCATGGGAAACCGTGCAAATGCAATGTATATACTTCATTAAAAAAATGTACCCTTTACAGACAGTAGTACCACAAAGAGGTACAGTTTGTGGATAACTCTTTGCGCGTTCAACGCATAACGTGTGTTGGCGGCTGGGGTATGAATACAGAATGACACGCGTACGCATGTATTACCAAATATCCTGAACTCAATTCGCGCACGTGTTGGCCACGAGATAGTTAAGAGTGGTGCAAGGGTTATTGCCGGCCCGTACCGATCAACCGTGATGGAATCATGTTATGTGTACGAAACGCTTGCGTGATGAGTTCCATACTTTTACATCGCATTACGAACTCAAATGCGTTTCTTCATTTCGCTGTTTATCACTTAACCTCCCTCCTAATCATCAGCCGTTGCCCATCCACTGCTGGATGAACGCCTTCCCCAATGCTTCGATAGCTGAAGCAACGACAACAACTATGAAAAATAATAATCCACGGTTACAGACTAAATACGTTGACAGTAGAGTAGAGACACGGCAAATTCTGTATTTAAACTCCTGCGCATATCGAACACGTGTCTGAATTCAAAGATATCTCAGCATGCTGTCAGGTGGGATATTGTGCACAATCCTACAAAGATCAAAGATCCCTCCCGTGTAGCCTTCACAGACTGTTGGGGCAAGTGCCGTTAGCGAGGAGCACCTATGAAGGCCGGCACGGCACACGAGGGGGTGGGTGGCCAGCACCACGCCCGACCGCCTTTGTCTCCCTAGCGACGATGTTTACACACCGCACCAGGTACTCATTTGAGGCTGAGTCGACCCAGCGGAGGCTCCAGGTCCGGATCAGATAATCGTCACTGATTTTGGCTGTGAGCGGGAATCGAACTCGGGTCGGCAGGTTCGCCGCGCAGCGCGCTAACCGCTACACCACCGCTCCCCACAACACACACGTACACACACGTACACACACACGTACACACGTACACACACACGTACACACACACGTACACACACACGCACACACGTACACACACACGCACACACACGTACACACATACATGTACACATACATGTACACACACGTACACACACACGCACACAAACACGCACACACGTACACACACACGTACACACACACGCACACACGTACATACGCACGCACACACACGTACACACACACACACACACGTACACACACACGCACACACACGCACAAACACACATGTACACACGCATGTTGTCGTGTTTACGGTCGTCGCCTGTGTCACAGCCTGCCAGCGGATCCGAGGGCTTCAGAATCATGAAGCACTTTTAAAATAAATCTAAAAACTTACTTTAAATAAAGACTTGCTTTTAATTAGGATTTTCTTAATGCGTTATTTTTTTATCAAGTCTTTGCCAGAAATTTGTGGGGAGTAATAGACATTTTGTCTACTTTTTAGGCATAATAAATAAAAAAATAACACTTAGTACCCAGGAACAAAAATTGTGTTACATAGTGAATTATCTGAACCGGTTCTGGGCCCTCCCCTAGGTCGACTCAGCATCAAATGAGTACCCGGTGCGGTGTGTAAACATCGCCACTGGGGAGACAAAGGCGGCCGGGCGTGGTGTTGGCCAACCACCCCCTCGTGTGCTGTGCCGGCCTTCACAGGTGCTCGCTAACAGCACTTGCCCCTACAGTCTGTTGAGGCTATACGGGGGATCTTTATCTTTGTACGTCCCTCCTCACCACCCACCCCATTTGAAACAAGGTAAGTTTACCACTTAGTAGTAGTAAGCTTTCGCGACCAATATTATCCATAATCAAGGTTGGGTTTTTTTGCTTTGTGTTAGACCGCGTAAATATGAATGTGTCGTTAAACCCGCCACCATCGGACACGGCCAACTAGTTGAGGTTTGTCACGGCAACAAAACGTGACCAATTCGTGACTACTCTAGCACTAACCGGCGTGTGCGTTGGAGATTAAACCCACTACGACATTTACAATTTGGGTACGACGTTTCGCTGGTGATTACAACAACAGCCCAGCTTCCGTCCGGGGCTGATGAGCCAGAATTGTGGAGACGTCTGCCTGTTCCAGGTTTTTTTAACAA